CTGCCACTGGAGCCTAAGGGGAAACTTGAAGCACCGGCTTGGGCCTCTTGTTCTGTTGAATAGGCACAGTAGGTGCTGGTCTACGGGATGGAGCTGAGGGTCTGAGGTTCCCCACTACCTGAGAGATGGTGCAGAAACTTCTCTTCACTAGCTGTGCCTTGGCCAAAACGATTGAATAAATCCTGAGCTCCAGCACAAACAAATGTTGTTTGATCTCTGGGCAGAGACCCTACTTCAACCTTCTAGCCTTCCTGTCTTTATCCAACAATATCTCAGGGGAATATTGGCCCAACTCTAGAAACATGCGAGCATATTCTGACACAATCATGTTTTCCTGGACCAACTGTACAGACTTCATCTCCTTTAGATGTCAAAGATGCTCTGCAAGGTATTCTGCATGAAAAGCCGTCAGGAACTGTTCCCAAGTAACTAGAACAGGCAGGGTGGTCTGTTTGAGTTCTCACCAGCGGTCTGCTTCTCCCACTAACAGGTAGCAAGGGTAACTTTCTGTTCGGGAGTCACTCCCAAGGTCTTGAAGGCCTTCTTTGTCTCTGCTAACCAATACTCGACATCTTCAAAAGAGGATCTCCTTGTAAAAGTAGATGGTTTTAATCTCTTATACCTCTCTATGTAGCCTGGGTCAATCATGGGAGGAGCATGGTTCTGTATAAGAGGGACTAGGTCATACTGACGATAGACTGGGGGGCCTTGCGGTGGTACTTGCTGATACAGTGGGGGCACCGGATTATACTATGGCGATGCCCAGTGGTACTGTGGCTGGGGCACTGGATCATACTGTGGTGGTGCATGTGCAATAGCAGGGTCGTACTGAGGTGGCTCGGGATCCTCTTCCTGCAGGGGTGGCTCAACCTGTGACAGCGGGGGAGGGTCAGGTAGCTCCCTCCTCTCCTCTCGGCCCTGTTGGGCAGCAATGAGTCTCTCCAACATCTCAAATATCCGGTCAACATCTTTCCTAAGCGAACCATCTCGGGCTGCTCGATTTAGTGGGGGTCTTCCTCTTCTCATCTCTCTGTACCTACACTTCACAAGGAAGGGTTGAGTGATAATTCATTATTTTTTTGTTCTCAAAGGATTATTGTGTAAGGAATAGGTTCGAGGAACGTGACTCTGATACCAATTGTAACGACCCCGGAAACCCAAAAACAAATAGATAGTAACTTAAGTGCGGAAGTGAAATAAAAGGGTTAAAGTTTACATTCCTTACACAATAACTTAAAAGTACTAAACAGCATTACGGAATTCATCATTTGAAAGAAAGACAAGAAATAAGGAAAAAAATGGAAAAAGAGAATATCTAGCATCTACTCGCAATCTTCTTGCCGATCGGGCTCTAGAACTTGGTCCTCTTGATATGAAATGGTTAACAAAGGATGAGCTACACTAACTCAGTAAAGATATCGCACTATATCACTGACACAAAAGTAAAAATTGATATAAAATCGAAAACTATTAATGGAGCATTAAATTTAGCAAATTCATTTATCAATCATAAAATTATTTCTCGTTCATTTACCATAGTGGAATTTTGTGAAAACAACCTGTAAGAACAATAATATCATACAGACCAATATTTCATGCATAATCAGCCATCATAGTACATATTATGAATCCATATCCATTATCAATAAATCAAACAATAACTGTCACTTTTTCCACCAACCTACTAGTATCCATGGGGGTTCATAGGGATGTCCCCGCTACACGTGATCTCTTTTCTTTAACAATCTTAATTACGAGCCGTCTCCATATTCCGTCTGGTATGAGCATCAAATTATTAAACCTCAATACCCCGTCCGGTATAAGAGTGAAGCAAGCCGTCCTCATACCCCGTCCGGTATGAGCGCTAAATTACCAAATTTTCATACCCCGTCCGGTATGAGACAACGTTCACGGTAGGGTTCTCTATGTACTCGATCCGTCCACCATCTCCCAGAATATCTATTAAGGCTACCATTCCATCTATTTATTTAATTACACAACTTTTCTATTTTCCTTTAGTCTCCCTTTTCCAAATTAACCATGACCACATTAGCAAACAAACATGCATCAAGGAATGCAATCATATCTCAATTTTCCAATCAAACAATACTCATGTAAGGCAGCAATTCATGCATTCAAATCATAAAAGTGATAAATCAGATACCATCATATTTTTAAACTGTAAAATAAATCAATAGAAATTAACAGAGAACAATTTCCAGTTCAGGCTCCATTAGCAATTCGTAATGAATTATGCACATTTATTTAATTTGCACAAATACGATATTATTATTAATTTAGACTTCAATTCTATGATAGGGAATAGGGTGAGGGATCCTTACTCGACTTTGATGCCCGAAAAGCTAAGCTGTTTACTGTGTCTACGGGGGGTCCCCAGGTTCTTTAAATTTTTTTTCAGGAATCAAAACGCGCTAATAGTACCTACAAATATTCCTAATAAATCCAAAATCAGTCTTAGGACCCACTCGACCAATTTTAGAATTCTGGCACGGCGGCTTCGCCGCCGGCACCACTGCCATCGCCCCTAGCTGCAGTCCACCCCGGGTTGGCTATTTTTGGTCGTTTTCGATCGAATTTGACCGATTTTGCATCGATCCCTGCAAAAAATATGTTAAAAGGCCTCGATTGGCCCAAAAATTATGAAAAATCGAAACTCACCGGTGGTGGAGCTCTCTGGTACAACAGTTCCTCCGGCTCACGTTGTGGTTAGGTGTTTTGCTTCGGTCAACTTGTAAAGAAGAAAATGGTGATCACAACGATAGAAAAATTATGTTAAACGGGAATCGGGAAGGGTCTCATTGGAGGCGTTTTGTGAAATTTTCTGCGGTGGCGCCGCCAAGCTTCGCCGGTGTTTTTCGGCTAATCGACCGGTCTTTTTGCTCCAATTTGGCCATGGATGAGCTTAAAATTGAATTTCATGCAAAAAAAAAGTTTTTACCTTTTTTGGCGGTCGGAAAAGGTTCCGGTGCAGCGGCAGGTGGCGGCGGTCGGCTTCTCTGCAGCTGGGTCATCTTCTCCGACGAGGAGTCTGGCAGCTAGGGTTAGGGTTTGGTGCAGATGGGGGTTATTTATATCTGTCCGCTTTTGATCTGGACCGTCCATCACGTTTGATTTTGATCGTCTGATCGTGATTAAATAGGGAGTGAATCTGGACCGTTAATCGCGATCCAATTTGGACCGTCCATCGCGATCTAATCTGGACCATCTGATCGCGTTTGAATCTGACTGTTCGATAGCGTTTGGGAGGGTGCGCATCCAGGTTACCCACGTGACCTCCTGCATCAGTGTTTCTGCCACTTGGCGTGTCGTGGTTGGTTAGGGTTGCTGACCGGGCATCTGATGTGACGAAACTTCTCTAAATTGCATTTTGATCCCTGTTTTCCGATTTTTCTTTTAAAAATCCCTCAGAATCCAAATTTTCACTCATTTTTCTCAAAATTATTTTTAATTTAGTCCTCCATTAATTTTATTTCATTTTTACCCCAAATTAAATAAAATAAATTAAATTAATAAAAATTATATTTATTAATTATTTAATTAAAACAAAAAAATTTTGTGGGTGTTATGAGGAATCATATAAAAAAACATCATCAACACAAAATATGGTTGACGTATTTCGTATGGATTCATATTTATAGAAAAGCCATAAAAGATGGTTATAAAGAGGTTTGGATCGAGATGAAAGGTAAAACCTGCTACTCAAACTTGAAAGATTAGGTGGGGACAATCTTGGAAGTTTCGATATAAAAAAAGGCCTACTCTCCTTCTATTACATGCAAGGACCTGACAAATCTCAAATGTCTTTTATCACATGCATGTTCTTTAGCATGACACAAAGACAAAGAACACATGAGTATTCGCAATGTGATTTAGTACATTCTTGAGGATCTTGCCGAAAATGCCTGAAGTAGCCTAATCACTTGAGTGCTCCAGCCCTACGCTAATCCCAACCGAGGATTCCTCAACTATCTTTGATATAAATGATGGCCTTTTTTTATCTCATCTGTATTCCAATCAAAGGTTGAAGATCCATTTTCCCACATAGTTTGTCGGTCAAACCAGGAATCAAGGTTCGAGCATACAAGTCTAAGTCCTAGATGAGAAAGGTGATGTTCGCTAACCACCTATAGGGTATCTATATATCTTGTGTACTTTTTTCCAAATGAAAGGATGAAACTATTATTTTCTTCTAAACCACATTTGCCTTTATTAGTAAAGAAGACAAAAGAATAAGGAGCAATATTTATTCTATCTTCAAACTCATTCTTAGGTAGCCCAAGTGCATCCATCGAGGAGGTCTTTTTTTTAGATGCTACGTTAGCCTCATTGACAATATCGGCATCGGTAGCATTCCATTAACATTACAATATTGTCTATATGAAAATTTTTCTATGGTGTAAAAATTAGAAAAAGCTTTGTGGAAGGCATATCTTAGGTGATTATGACTTGATAAACCTATATAAAAAAAAACCTTTACTTTGCCACTAAATGTGTATATCTATTTTTTTCCAACATGTGTCTTTCTATAATATAAGATTTACTTGGTTAGAATGAGACAGTAAATAAAAAAAACTATAAAGTAGAAATAATAAATAATTTGTAATAAAAAGATGAGATAATTAATAGGTATTAGAAAAGATACGATCATAATCCCTTATCATCGAAAAGAAGAGATAACATAATAATTAATAAGCCTTGCTAGAACTAGTTGAACTCATTTTGCCTTTTCCATTCTATCATGAATGATTGAATTCAATGTTGCCAATCATGTTTAAAAGGGAAAAAAACATAATATGGTAAGCAGTCTCTCTCCCCTCTACAACAAATTTTGACTTCCATAAAATCCTTCACTATTATTTATATCAATTAAAACAAAACCCATCATATCCTACTTACTTTTCAAAAATAAAAATTAAAAAAAAAAAAAAAAAGCTAACATCATGTCTTACTTTCCTTATTCTTTCCTCCCATTCCAAGTACCTGGCATACACCATAACATTGCCATTTATTATTTATTAATAATCAACAGAAACTTTTTTCTTTTTGTATTTCAATGAAATTGAATTATTTTTAACTCAAAATGACATAATAATACTTTTAATTACAAATATTGCGGCTATACCCACTTAATTATTTCCCGTTCCGTATAGGAAATTAATATCAGCATACTCAACTGTTCAAAATAAATTCGTGCAAAAACAAACTGAAAAAGAGAAGAAAAAAAAAAAAGAAATTCAGACCCAGATTGGAATGAGCACTCAACATGCTTTTAACTGTTCTTGGGTGCGAGCCTGGACTTGATTTTCTCAATCTCCTTCGTCCCAACCTGGAAAGCCTTGGTGAGAACATTATCAGGCACAGCAGGTGTAGATCCAAATAGAGTAGCCGCGATGGACTGAGTTCCCGGCAACTGGCTATTGAAGGCTGAAATGACGGCGGCGGGTTCTTTCCCATTATTCTTCTGGAAATGAACCAGGCCTCTCGGGAACACAAAGATCTCACCTTTCTTGATTGTCTTGCTGAATAACTTGTTGCTGGTGGTGAGAAACCCTACATCCAACTCACCTTCCAGCACGAACACCATCTCGGTGGCTCGTGGGTGCGTGTGCGGTGGGTTAAGACCACCGGCCTCGTAGTCGATCCGGGAGAGCGAGACGCCCAATGTGTTGAGACCGGGAATTTTCTCAACGTTAGCACCTGTTACGACCGAACCCACCGAGTTATTTATGGTGGCCGGGTTGGCCAGGCCGTCGAAGAAGAAATCGTCTGCTGAAATGTTGGCCGTCGCCTTGCAAACAAAGCCGTTAATGGTGATTCCTGTAAGAAAATAAATATATTGAGAAAACCCAATTGTTAATTGTGATAAATTGTGGTGGGTGAGGAGATTTACAGTAGATTGATATATATATATATATATATATGTATATACCTGAAGTCCGATCGGCGACGCAAAGGTCCTGAAGCATATCGGGATCGTTACCGATGATGGAAGAAATGGAAGAGAGGATTAGGAGAGATGCGAGGAGGTTAGCAATGGAGGCCATAGTTGAAAATTGAAGGAAGATTGGGATTAGTTGGGTTATGGAAAGTTGAGAACTTGGTTGACTTTTATACTGCGGAGAAAATTGTTAAAAGAAAGAAATAAATGGTGGATGTATGGAGAGTGATGGAATACCCAAAAAAAAAAACAAAAAACAAAAAACAGAAAAACAGTGTAGAGGAGACTTGAAAGAGATGATCTTCTTGATAAATCCAAACCAAGTTAACATGGAAGATTGAGTCAGTAGTTTGGTTTCATCATATTTCATTTTTTGGTTGTTTATATGCACTTGATGTTATTATAATTAGCTTAATTAGGAACAAAATTAGGAATATCCTAATTGTTGGAGTTGTATTCTCTAAAGAAGAAAAAAGAAAAAAGAAAAAAAAAAAAAAAAAAAAGGAATGCAGTTGTTGAATGGTCATGTTCATTGTCTTGCAATTGTAGGTGGCATGGCTCAAGCCTGCGCCAGGTAAGATGCTTTGTCATTAAAAAAGGGGGAAGAAGTATTGACTTAAAAGCTAATATTTACAAAACTCAGTAGCTCTAAGTTCTTGCATTTTGCGATAAATTAACAAAAGACATGGAAAAGACATTTGTTTTTAAATTATTGATTTTAATCCTTTAAAAATTCAACCTCAATAATGAGTTAAAAAGTGCAAAACAAAAACAAAAGATTTATTCCATTTGTTTTTCTTTTTAAATTTTAAAATGAAAGTCATTACTAAAAATTCAAAACAAATGGTTCTTCACTTGGCATCATCCCTTTGTTATGGAGGCAAAAGTTTTCACTTAGCAAAACTCTTGGCCTAATTAATGGAAAGATGTCACTTTAATCTAATTTGCATACTCATACAGTTTCTTATTTTTTATTATTATTATTATTATTTTTGTTACTCTCATATATCTTATTAAATCTAATATATATATATATATATATATATATCATATTAAAACTTATTCTGTGATGCTTTTATATAATAGTTATCTATAATGCCCAATCTAACACATAGGTTAGATCTCCCATTACCCACTTCTGGATCACCTCTCTTTCTTATTAGTTTTGGGTTAAATACTCATTTTGGCTCCTTTGTGCAATTATTATTATTCCTCATACTTTAGCTCTTCAGTTATATTAGACACCAAATTTGTTGTTAATTAGTTAGTAAAAATTTCAATATTTTGTGTATCTTTTATCTTCATTTCTTTCGTTAATAATGATGTCTAAGAATTAGAATATACTTTTTTAAGGTACCTCTTTTGTTTGTACCTAAATTTCCCAAAAGAAAAATATATTTGTATTAAAAGCTTGTACTTTATACGTAACAATACACAATTTTACCTACAAAGCTAAATATTTTATAAATCAACTTCTATGAAGAATGTAGCATACTTTCACGGGTTCCCAACATCATGCTTGTAACTTTTCCCATTGGCCTATGCATCACTTTTCTTATCTCCTAAACTGTTTATAATGACCCAAACTACCATCTTTGTGACATAGCCAATATTTATTTAGAAGTTCAACTCCCATTAAATGATAAGTAGGTAATATTCATAAATGATTGAAGGTCACTAGAACAATGCTTTCTCATTGCCCTCTATGTTCATAAATTTTGACACATAGAAACCCTCACCCATGTCAAGTAGGTTAAGTTATTCGTAATGCTATAAATTTAGACTTATTCTTTTACATGGTGGAATTCAAAATAGTTCTTATTGAGTTACGATAATCACTTTTTACCAAAATAAACTCACACCTTGGTTATTGAACATAGGAACTTTACCATTTGGAATTCCCTAAATGTTTAGATCTGGTATCTCATCTTAAAAGTTCTTTCAATCTCCCTTGGTAATAGATTATGTGTTATAAGTATTAAAGAGAGAATCATTTAGTAATTTTATTCCTGTAGGACATCTCTTCTAGTGATAAGAACTTGATTTCACAACCACATCAGTAGTTGTCCTTACCACCACAAAATCCAAAAAGTTCCCTTCTTAATAGTGCTTCAGTTCACCTGTTTTCCTTCCATAAACTTGTGTTTCTCATTTGGTAGTTTGACAACATACCCTCTGATTGGATGATGGTATTTCATGGTTAATTAATGTAATGTATGATATTTGGATGAAGAAATCTTATTTGTTTCCTGATAATATAGTTATTTAAGGGTGTTTTATGGTATCCAAAAGATAAATTTTAGACGAATTTTTAAAACCATTAATTCAGTAATTTTTGATGGACTCATATTTTTGATTCAGTTATACTCTCATTAAATTTTGTTAATTCTTATTTTACCCTAAAAAAACTCTCATTTATTTACCAACATAATTATTTAAAACACTTTTTAATTTTTTATTTCTTAAAATAATTTTAAATTTAATATAATAATATGTAATTATAATTATTCATTTTTAATATATGAATAATTTTAATTTATTAAAATAAAATTAATATGGTAATATAAATAATAATTATATATTATAAAATATATAGTTTAATGTGATAATATGTAATAATTATTTATTTAAATATAAATTTAATTATATTTTTATATATATATTTTTATTCAATATACATATAATAAAGTAATGATAAATTAATAATTTAACTGAATATACAATCATACCGTCTTATTAATTCAAATAAAATAATTGTCAAATATGATATAATTTTATCATTACCATCATATACATTAATTGCCGGCTACAAAATTTATACAAAGAGAGCAAACAAAAATTGTTAAAACAATATATTACTTAACCTCTATACAACTTAGGCACATTCATTTGATCAAATTGTTTCCCAAATTATATATTCCGGGACAATTCATTACAATCTTATTATTCTTTTTCTTTTTCCAATGCAGGATGTGTAAGATTAAAATATATATATATATATATATATACATACTAACATACACAATACTTTCACACAAACACATAAATTACAAGGTATAGTTACTTTGGCCAGAAGGTCCTCGAAAGTTGTAAAATAAGAGCAAAGATAGGAAGAGAAATACATAGTACAGCATGCATGGTTCTCCCTTTTATGGCCACTGCACTACATCAAATTCCTGGGATTAATGCGCACATGGTAATGGAAACAAAAGAATCAGCACAATACCTTTTTTTGGGATAGTCCCTCTTTGAGAAATTTGTACAACAGGCACTATTAAAAATAAAATAAAATTCATCAAGAAAAATAAATTGTCTTTTCTTTCCTTTCCTTTCCTTTCCTTTATTCATACTATACTACAATTGTACCAGAAAGGCCAAAGACTAGCTAACTTGTGTTTCAGTACTGATAGGGCATGGCCTCCTACAATCTAGAACAACTGTGACTATGCTGGGAAGAAAGATTCCGACCCTAAGTACCCTATTTTTCGCATTAATTCCGACTACCTCCACCCCTAAACAGCAAAAAAAAAAAAACAAAGAGGTATAGAACTCTATTCTCTAATTTTCTGACTAAAGCTTAAACCAAATGATAGGGAGGACATTAACAGATTTCTATACAAACACTGCTGTGAAGAGGAGACTGCATGCTATGCAATCCACGCTTGGCACCATTGCTTTCAACCAAACCAATGGGCTAATACAGTTAAGGTGCGGCCCTTCTGTAGGATGTACTATACACCATGCTGCCTTATAAGAGAACAAAATTTTTATAGTTCTATTAAAGGAAAAAAATTGTAAAGACTGAGATTCTCATTTCCAAAATAGATGATTTACCCCTTGCTTGAAAATGGTTACAACGCTCAACAATATGCAAATATGAAAAACCAAAAAAAGAAATCATCCAGATGATCTCCAAATCCTACCCTCCAAGGAAACTACCATGACAGAACATCATCATGATATTTACCTCCATCCCCCTGAGGAATATCAAGCAAATCATGAAACTCCATTCCTGCACCCCTAAATTCAGTGATCATTACATTACAAACAAGTAATCACGATTCAGGAGGAAGTCAGGCAGTCTGATACTGCATAATATTCCAAATTCACAAAGTGCACATGTTTCTTTTGATATGCTTTTCTTTTTCTTCAAAGAACAATAATTCGTTCTATTGTGATCTTTAAGAGTTGGAATCAAGAGATAAAATTTTGCAATTCCAACTTCCAATTAGTTACCATTTCAAGCACACCACATTGAGTAAAACTTGTCATGCTTCAACTATAAATGCCAGAAGCCTAATGAGATTAAACAGAATAAGAAAGTAGATCCACTTACCATTCTTTTTGGCTGCTCGGAATAGAAGTTCCGCAATGAGATATTGTGCAGGATCACCTTCTGGCACATTTTCCATGAACCATGTGACATGGGCAACTACCTCTTCATTGCTGAAATATTGATAAAGCCCATCAGAAGATAGTACCAGGAATCGGTCGCTTGAGGTTAGCCGATGGTGAAGAACAAAAGGGATACAGCTCAGATATGGAGCAGTTCCTACATAATCAATCCGAAACATTTCTAGCAGAGCTTCATTACAAGTTGGCTGCAAAGAAAGCCAATCGATTCATCATGCCATAGATGACAGAACCAATAACAGACATTATATGCAAAGAAATACCTATTATATATATGTATTGAAGGTCAATAGCAGATAGTAATTGATACTTGACAGGACAGGTAATACCCAAGAACTGAAAGTAAGCACAATCAATACACCAGAAGGTTCCTGACATAGCATCTCAACCTGTTTTATTAAATATATTTACCCAATAATTCTAGTGGTTGATATCCCTGAAATGAACTAGAAACGCCAGTACAGAATCACAAACATATGGAAATACATGTGCATTTACACACTCAAATGTACATATGAAGGTGCCGGTTCGTTAATCTTATACACAGATAAATTAACAATTTTGTTATCTCTTCAGACCACAACTGCAACTTAGACGCTCAAACCCTGCAACACATGCTATAAATAAATTTCTTGAGCTTCCCCGAATTTTTAGATTTCAACTTTGTTTAGATTTATTCTAATACGAGGGGGGTAAAGGCCCCTGTGTTAAATTCCAGGCCATAAGACTAGTCTTCGATTTATCAC